TTTCTTTCCACCCCCCAGGAGCCAGGGGGAGGGGCGCTCGGGTCCCGCCGGGGCTTGTATCTTACCCCCTTCGCAAGGCGCTGGGTTCTTGCAGGTGTGGATGTGGTCTGGTTGTTGTCCTGTGTCCTCTGGTCTCTATTTTAGGAAGTGTTTTCTTTGTTATATTTTCATAGATCTATGTGTTTTTGGGAGGAGATTTCCACTGCTCTACTCACGCTGACATCCTGGCTCTGCCCCCGAGTTTTTTTTTTTAAGGAGATATCTTGATTGCATATGTATAGTAAATTAAATTGAGAAAATATTTACTTAACTGATGGCTTTTCTTCAATGAACTTTTAATTTCCCAGGGCATTTGATAGAAAATGCATATTAGCTTGTCCCTTACTGTGCTTTCAGCCTCTTTCCTTCAACATTTACTGCCTTTTCTTTGTCTGCTATGAAATACAAGAATGATAAATAATGTCTGATAATTTTCTTATTAGTGACTTTCATTTAACATTTAAAACTATCATGACAAACTTTAAGTGTATTTGAGGATTTAGATAGCCAAGCTACATAATTCAGGACCAATCTTTCTCCCTGACCACCCCCATCCCTATTTGACAGACATCTATTTCCAAAGTTACTTTCAGACCTTATTGTAGTTTAACTTGTTTACAAATCTGAGGTTTATCCATTAATTTTTCAACTCTCCTTCATTTTGCAACTACTTGAAATGTCAATGTTAGCAAACTGGTAGTTAATTAGAAAAATAATAATTCAATGATGTAGCCAATAAAATTAACCTATTTTGAAATTCCTTTAAATGAAATTTTAAATTGTATTTGAATAAGAAATAGTGTTTTATCCTTTCAGTTAAAAAATTTACATTTATTCATTTATTCACTGATTTAATTTTTAGGACTAGAAAAAATTGTTCAGTGTTCACTGTGTCATTTCCCCAGGCTGAACTGTCACTGAGCCACCAGAGTATTCGAGGTATGTTTTCATGGGTATACTTATATAAAGTAAATTTGTCTGTATAAAAATGGAATCTTAGTTACATACGGATTTATTTACAACCAGGCTGGTCTATTGTAGATTGTTGTTAAACATTTTTACATATGAAATCAGTGTTAACTGCTGTCCTTATGCTGCTTGAAGTTGCCCATATGAGAAGCAGCTCAGATGCAGTCAATCCTGCTATTCCAAATGTCTACTCTTCTGTAATTTTGGAGCTCAAATTTAAAGTGTTTGTTTTCTCTGTTCATAACATTCTTCATATGTATAGCATCTTTATTGATGGGCAGTCATGCAGTCCATTTACCTTGGTTTTCAGCTGTATAACAGGATAGCTGTGTTTCTCTTTAAGGTGTCTCCTAGTGGCTCTTCCAGAGTGAATATTAATATATGTTGTATGTCAGTGTAGTAAGTATTCTTAGTGGTCAGTTCTCCTACTGTTTTGTTACTACAGCAATAGCAAGATATAGAAAGTATAATATATCATCAGTGCTTGGCACAAAGGATTCTAATGCAAAGATAATAACTTATTTATTCTTACAACTTTTTGCTATGAAGAAGTAGAATGCCATAATACTAAAGTTTTCAGCTGATTTTCATAGCTTTTCAACATCAAACAGCAAAGGTGAAGCAAAAAACAAAACAAAACAAAACAAAACCCAATAGATTTTTGTAGGATGTAAACTCAACAAGCATATTAATGCTAATTTTTTTATTAAGATACCATTGATATACAATCTTATGAAGGTTTCGCATGAGCAACATTGTGGTTATTACATTCATCCATATTATCAAGTCCCCCCTATAACCATTTCAGTCACTGTCCATCAGCATAGTAAGATGCTATAGAGTCACTACTTGTCTTCTGTGTGCTGTACTGCCTTCCCCAGATGCCCCTACATTAAGTGTGTTAATCATAATACCTCTTAATCTTTCTCCCTCCCTCCCCATACCTTCTCCCCACCCCCTTCCCTTTGGTAATCGCTAGTCCCTTCTTGGAGTCTGTGAATATGCTGCTGTTTAGTTCCTTCAGTTTTGCTTTGTTGTTACACTCTACAAATGAGTGAAGTCATTTGGTACTTGTCTTTCTTCACATAGCTTATTTAACTGAGCATAATACCTTCTAGCTCCATTCATGTTGTGGCAAATGGTAGGATTTGTTTTCTTCTGTGGCTGAATAATATTCCATTGTGTGTATGTACCACCTGTTCTTTATCGATTCATCTACTGATGAACACTTAGGTTGCTTCCGTGTCTTGGCTATTGTAAATAGTGCTGCAATAAACATAGTAGTGTTCTTTTGAATCTGTGATCCTGCTTTCTTCAGGTAAATTCCTAGGAATGGAATTCCTGGATCAAATGGTATTTCTATTTTTAGATTTTTGAGGAGCCTCCATATTGCTTTCCACAATACTTGAACTAATTTATATTCCCACCAGCAGTGTAGGAGGGTTCCCCTTTCTCCACATCCTCACCAGCATTTGTTGTTCCTTGTCTTTTGGATGTTGGCCATACTAACTGGTGTAAGGTAATATCTCATTGTAGTTTTAGTTTGCATTTCTCTGATAAATAGTGATGTGGAGCATCTTTTCTTCTTTGGAGAAGTATCTGTTCAGATCCTCTGCCCATTTTTAAATCTTTTTGGGTGTTGAGGCATTTGAGTTCTTTATATATTTTGGATGTTAACCTGTTTTTGGATATGTCATTTATGAATATATTCTCCCATACTGTAGGGTGTCCTTATGAGTTCTTTATACATTTTGTATGTTAACCTTTTATCGGATATGTCATTTACTAATATATTCTCCCATACCATGGGGTGCATTTTTGTTCTACTGATGGTGTCCTTTGCTGTAGAGAAGTCTTTTAGTTTGATGTGGTTCCATTTGTTAGTTTTTACATTTGTTTCCCTTGCCCAAGATGTGTTCAGGAAAAAGTTGCTCATGTTTATATTGAGGATATTTTTGCCTGTGTTATCTTCTAAGAGTTGTATGGTTTCATGACTTACATTCAGGTCTTTGATCCATTTTGAGTTTACTTTTGCGTATGGAGTTAGGCAATAATCTAGTTTCATTCTCTTACATGTAGCTGTCCAGTTGTTGAAGAGGCTGTGTTTTCTCCATTGTATATTCACATCTCTTTTATTGTATATTAATTGGCCATATATGTATGGGTTTATATTTGGGCTCTCTATTCTATTCCATTGATCCATGGATCTGTTCTTCTGAAGTACCAAATTATCTTGATTACTGTGGCTTTGTAGTAGAGCTTGAAATTTGGGAGTGAATGCCCCCAGCTTAATTCTTCCTTCTCAGGCTTGCTTTGGATATTTGGAGTCTTTTGTGGTTCCATATGAATTTTAGAACTATTTTCTCTATTTTGTTAAAGAATGCTGTCAGTATTTTGACAGGGATTGCATTGAATATGTAGATTGCTTTAGGCAGGATGGCCACTTTGACAATATTAATTCTTCCTATCCATGAGCACAGGATGTTTCCATTTATTTGTATCTTCTTTAATTTCTCTCAAGAGTATCTTGTATAGGTTTCAGGCTGTAGGACTTTCACTTCCTTGGTTAGGTTTATTCCTAGGTAGTTTGTTCTTTTTGATAAAGAATAAATCTTTACTTATCTGTGCCTCTGTCTCTTTACTTATTTTCTGTCTGGTTGATCTGTCCTTTGGAGTGAGTGGTGTGGTAAAGTCTCTAAAATGAATGCATTGTATTCTCTTTCCTTCTTTAATTCTGTTAGTATTTGTTGCACATACTTGAGTGCTCCTGTGTTGGGTGCATAGATATGTATTATGGTTAAATCCTCTTGTTGGACTGACTCCTTTATTATTATATAATGTCCTTCTTTGTCTCTTGTTACTTTCTTTGTTTTGAAGTCTATTTTATCTGATACAAGTACTGCAACTTCTGCTTTTTCTCCCTGTTATTCACATGAAGTATCTTTTTCCATCCCTTGACTTTTAGTCTGTGTATGTCTCTGGATTTGAAGTGAGTTTCTTGTAGACAGCATATAGATGGGTCTTGCTTTTTTATCCATTCTGTAACTTTGTGTCTTTTGATTGGTGCATTTAGTCCATTTACATTTAGGGTGATTCTCAATAGATATGTATTTATTGCCATTGCAGACTTTGGATTCGTGGTTCCCAAAGGTTCAAGGGCAGCTTCTTTACTATCTAACAGTCTAACTTAACTCACTTATTATGCTATTATAAAAGCAATCTAAAGATTCTTTATTTTTCTTCCCTTTTTCTTCCTCCTCCACTCTTTATCTGTTAGGTATCATATTCTGTACTGACTGACTTTGTGGGTAGCTGATTTAATTTTGTATTTAGTTAGTAATTAATTGGTCTGCTTCCTTTAGTGTGATTTTATTTTCTCTGGTAACATCTGTTTAGCCTTTTGAGCACTTCCATCTAGAGCACTCCCTTTGAAATACACTGTAGAAATGGTTTGTGGGGGGTAAATTTTTTCTTTTGCTTATCTGGAAATTGTTTAATCCCTCCTTCAAATTTAAATGATTATCTTGCCAGGTAGAGTATTGTTAGTTTGAGGCCCTTCTGTTTCATTGCATTGAATGTATGATGCCACTCCTTTCTGGCCTGTAAGGTTTTTGTTGAGAAGCCTGATGACAGCCTGATGGGTTTTCCTTTGCATGTGATCTTTTCTCTCTCTCTAGCTGCTTTTAATACTCTGTCCTTATCCTTGATCTTTCCTGTTTTAATTATTATATGTCTTGGTGTTGTCTTCCTTGGTTCCTTGTGTTGGTAGATCTGTGCAGTTGCATGGCCTGAGAGACTACTTCCTTCCCCAGATTGGGGAAGTTTTCAGCAATTATTTCCTCAAAGACACTTTCTATCCCTTTTTCTCTCTTCTTTTTTGGTACCGCATCATGCAAATACCGTTCCTTTCAGATTGGCCTCACAGTTCTCTTATTATTCCTTCATTCGTAGAAATCCTTTCTTCTCTCAGTGCCTCAACTTCTTTGCATTTGTATTCTCTAATTTCTATTCAATTTACTGTCTCCTCTACCTCATTGGATGTGCTTTTAAATCCCTCCATTGTATGTTTCATTTCAGTTACTGTGTTTTTCAAGTTTTCTATCTCTTTCTTGAAGTCCTCCCTGAGGTTTTGAATATTTTTCTGTAGCTCCATGAGCATGTTTATGATTTTTATTTTGAAATCTTTATCAAGAAGATTGGTGATTTCAGTTTCACTGAGCCCTCTTTTTTGTGTTTGAGGGATTTTGGTTTGAACAAGGTTCTTTTGCCTCTTCACAATGCTAATGAACGATAACTTTGTGTAGGCGGCACTTTCTAGTGCCCAGGTCCTCTACTGTCTGGAATCTTCCCAGCCCCTGGAGTGACAGTGAGCAGCACTGGTGTGTGCCAGGAAGGAAAGAGCTCTTTCCTGCTTCCTGCTGAGGTACCTGCCTCCACTGCAAGTGCCAGTGGGCCTAGCATGGAAGGAGGAGCCTCAGCATTAGGCCACTGTAGCTGCCATAGATGGGGCTGCCCTCCAGCTGGCCAGGCACAATAGTGGGGCCAGCAGGTTTGCGCACAGGTGCCCACCGGGAGGAAGGAGCAGCAGCCTGCGTATTGCTGTGGGGGGGTCTGAGTGCTGTATTGCCAGCCAGGGGTGTAGTACCTGAAGCTCCTGAAAGTTCCCAACCTGCTGGGCCGACTGTGTTAGGACGATTTTGTCCACCTGTCCTTTCTTCTGAGGAACTAGCTCTGTGTAATCCTTTCCCCTTTAGTAGCCTTCTTGCTGTTGGGAAGTCTTTTAAAGCACCTGCCTGTCTTGTATCCTGGAGCAGCCAGTTGTGGGTACCTGTTCTCCACAAGTGAATGAATCTCAGTCTTTTTGAGTATTCCACCTGTTTTAGCTTTTCAACTCCACTAATCTCCAAAGCACAATGTAATGTGGGTTCATGCTCCCAGAGTAGATCTCCAGGGGTTGGTATTTAGCAATCCTCGGCTTCTACTCCCTCCCCATTTTGTTTCTCTTTCTTCTGCCATTGAGGTGGGGTGGGGGGAGGACTTGGGTCCTTCTGGATTGCGGCTTTGCTACTTTACCTTTTTCCATGAGGATAATCCTTCTCTTTTCCCCAGATGTAAGCCATCAGTTGCAGTCTTCTTTTTGGTCACTCTTTCAGGAGTAGTTGTATTTGCTGTATTTTCGTGTTATGTGGTTTTGGTAGGAGGTTGCTGCCTCACTTCTCATGCTGCCATTTTTTCCCCCAGATCTAATGCTAACTTTTTTTTACCACTGAAAGCCTGTCTAGCTTGTGAGGTGCATTCTGAGGTCAGCTGATAATTAGTTGCTTATGTGAGAGCTCTGGATAGTGCCTAATTAAAAGAAACCAAAGGAGTGACTCAAATATATGCTTGAAATGCCAGTGAGCCCTGAATTCCTACCTAAGCACATCAGAGGATTTGGGCCTTGATGGTGAAGGTAGGAAACAAGAGGAGTGGAGTAGCAGAAAAATATTTTTTCCTGATCCTACTTCAGCTTCACTTGGTATAAACTGCTGTTACCCAGCTCCTGCTTCAGAAGGGGTGGGGTGAGGAGCCAGTGGTGAAGGTGAGATCAGTCTCCTGATTTTTTTACAACAGTCTCCTGATTATTTCTGGCCCTACATGGGGTGTTCCATTTCATGCTTAACTTGACAGTATAAATTCATTTAAAATCAATTACCTATAATGGAAGAGATAGTTAACACTGAGAGAGTAAATGTTTTCCTCATGTAGTTACAAATACCTAGAATAATTCAGCCAAAATAGTGGTAGGTTTTTAGGTAATGTAATTCTAAATAATTTTAATTTTACCTGCTTTCATATAAAATATTTGTTTAAGAAATGGAATAATTTTCTTTGATAATTGCCAGTATAGTGATAATACTTTTCTATCAGTAAATTGGTATAATATTTATAAAATGTTTGATATGTCACATGAGTGTCTGATGGTGTCATTTCAAGTTATATGACTAAGAAATGCTGAGTGAGAGGGTATACTTTTAGTGTTTGAATAAAACTGGGATGAAAAAATAATATTGTTATCTTCTAGGGCCTGAAGTGGAAAATCCTGAAGTTTTGCCACACCCAGAAAAGGTTGGTCTGTATGACAGAGGTTAGCTATGCAGATCATGGGTTTAAATTTTTAAAAAGTTACATTGCTTTACATATCACGCTCATGTATGCTTCCCCTAGTCAGGAACATGGTTAAACCAATTTAATAGATAGAAATCTATTTGCATCTAACATCCCCTTCCAGTATTCTTCCTTATCTCTGATGAAATAATATTTTCTTGATATGTTTCTTATCCATCATTATCTTTTATTCTTTATCTAGAGGAGAAGTATATAACTTATCAAATTGGTTGCTGATATGATGTAACAAAAACGCTTTTTGTTGGTTTGTCTGTTACCCTAGTTCCTTTAATATTTCCTGCTAGATACTACTTTCCCATCTTCTGGTTCCTAATCAGAAACTGTATTGAATGCTCGTTTAGACTTTGCTTTCTGCATGTTGCTATGGGGAATCAGAACTGTAAGACTGGCTTCGCACACAGTGGACTCAAGCAATCAAGGACCTCCCTAGGCCAACCCCACCATATGTGTATCTTAGTTCATCTTAGCTGTACTTCACACTTTTCCCAACTCTGTGACTTTGTTCAAGTCAGGAGCCAGAAAGCAAGGGAAAGAGCATAAGGTTTGGAACCAGATAGATGTGCATTCAAAGGGCAAGTATGTCATTTGAATAGTGATATCCATTTCACAGGATCATTATGAGGACTGAGAGCAGTGACAGCTCATGGTAACTGGCTCCTAGTTGGTGCTTAATAAATATGTGCTCCTCTCTTTTACCCCTTCACAAATACTTAATTTCTGACTCAAGTCCCTTTTCTTCTATGGATCTTTTTTAGATGACTCTGGTGATCTTGACTAAAGTAAATTGCTCCCTCTTTAGCATTCATTATTCATTGACTATATCAGTATTTTCCAATCACTTGCATCCTGTGACATTAATAGATCTGAGAAAGAGAATTTTTTGGAACAAAGATGTTTGGAGAATACTATATCCTGAAGTCTCCTCAGAGATTTATAATAATGCGCATGGCTCTGAAAAGTCTTGTGGTAAAGATACATGTTTAACTTTGTTTAACCAAGCATTTTTTTTCAACCAATCATGAAAACCCTCCATTGCATCCCCTTTTCTTTCCCTCCAGAAAACTTATTTTGTAACACAATAGCCTCTGTAGTTTATGCCATATATCTGAGTTCATACAATGTTTTTGACATTATTTATACTGTAATTTCTTATGTATTTATGCCTTCAATCCTCAATTAGATGTTAAGTTCTTTTAGGGTAGGCTTATACACACACAGACACATATACTTTATTACATGTGGGCCTTGAATTTAATAGCTACAAGGACTTCAAATAGGAGGGACCCCTTGAACTGTGACTGGAAGGATCTGGTTCTTGAATTCCTTCTAAGTTCCTTCTATCTTTCTGAGCAAATTATAGTTTGTATTACTAGTAAATAAATATATCTTCTTAAGCTCTGTATGCTATTTACAAAGAAGATAAATATTGGCAGGTAGAAAAGGAAGAGAGGGGAAAAATGGTTTTCAGTTATTAAATCAGGATATTAGAGGTCTTACAGATTGCAGTGCATCCTGTCAGAGTACATGTCAGTGGTGGGTGGATTTGATTTTGTCAAACAGCCAGAAGTCATTGAAACTCATTCTTTTATTGAAGGTCAAACAAATTAACAGTTTTTAATATTGAAAAAAGTTCAGTACCTTTAAAGTATTGAGATTTTCTTGAATGGCTTATAAGTGGAACTTGAAAGCAATTTCAAAAGAGGAAGTCTGATATATTTTGTGCATGAGAAACATTGTGAGAATAGGTATAACCTATTAAAGTTGTATCTTTGAAAATTAATAGTCATTTAGAAATGAAAGGTTTGTGTTTTTTGTTTAGAGCAACCAAAACATAGACCCAAGGCTCATAATATTTACCTGGAATTGTCCTCCTGTTTTTCTCTCTAACCACCTGTCTTTTTGGCCTTTTTACTTCATATTTACATATTCATGCAGAGGTGGGGATAAAAAGATGAAACTATAACCAATTTTATTATAGGTTAAAAATATTTATAAAATTCAATAGTGATTTTTGGCAGGGGAGAATTTTACAACACAAATGTCAGTGAAGTTTTGAGATCAACTGTTAATTTAAACATCCATGCCGTCTCTGCCTCTTCTATTAGCACAGATAATTTGCCATTTATAATTACTATCCACTTTTACCCTTGGTTCACTATTCAGTGTTTAACCATATATTTAAAGTTGTTAGTGATTTGGTTTAGGAAATTAATAAAGAGTATTTATGTTTATGGAAGAGGAGGAAAGTTGATAAAACTTTTTGGTGATAGTTTACCAACATGATTAACTTGAAAACTATAAGGTTTTCATTTTAGACACTTCATTGTATGTGCTATAATGATGCAATTTCTATTTGGAATACACAGGAACTAAATGCAGATGGATGCTCTCCTGAAATTAACCTTTCGGATGCTGCTATTAAAGTATCTGATATCGTTGCTGTGAAAGAGAAATCCTTAATTGAGGTAGAGAAGATCTTAGCAGCACCAAATACATTTTCTGAGCCTGGAAAGGAAGTCACATTGACCATGACTTCTGAAGAAACTAAGGATGAAGGAAGCTCTCTTGAAACTTTTGTGTCTGTCTTAGAAAGGTTACTGACATCACCAGAAACCTCCCAGGAGGAAAGACTGTTTGAAATGAGTGATTGTGAACCTAGGGAGTTGATGAAGCCTTTGAGCAACTCTCTGAGTTCCATATCAACACCTTCGACATGTCACAGAGATTTACTAGAAACCACAAAGGATGATGCATTGCCAGCTGACTTGTTTGCAGCACTAAACACCTTATCAGAAGCCAAGGTAGGACCCATCTGTCACAGGAAAGAAGGAGGCAGCAGTCTCAGTACTGGAAATGAATGTTTAGGAGTGGAGTGCAGCATGTCTCAGACCAGTGAAGATTGCACACAAATAGCAGAGGTGAATTTTGAGTCTCTTTGTTCTACTCCACCATTTGAACAGGATTCTAAGTTAGCTGAGCTGCAGGACAGGCATCTTTTAGTGCAGCATGTAAGTGCAAGTGTGAGTCTATAATTTTGCCTTTTATAGTACCCTTTAAGAAGTCTTCATTGCCCATAGACTTCATTTGAAATTCAAACCTTCTACCCAAAAATCAACACTTGGAAGATAGTATTTGATTTTGATGTGTACAGTGATCTTTTTTAGAGGTTCCCAAGGTGAGTTTTCAAGGGAATTAAACATTAAATAGATAAGTTTCCCCCCAAAAGACCTGAAAAGACAGATTGCTTATATATAGGAAGGAAAGAATTCTTTGCCAGAGTTTTCAATTAGCTCAGAAAAACACTGAGTCTACATGAGTGCAAAATAGAGATGAGATACCCAACACTGATTTCTAGTTGGACATAGAATACATGCAGTTGGGTTGTCAGGAGAGGGAAAAAATTATGCCTCCTCCGGCAGAACTTTGCATTCTACGTCTGAGGATACTGCCAGGTGGCACAGTTTTGGGGCTTTAGAATCCCCACAGTATTATGCCTGGAGATGCTGTAGTGGCCTACTGCTTGCAAAATCCCTTTTTCATATTGTCAGTGTTTCTCCTTTTAAAAACAATCTTTATTTTTTTCCTGATTATGATAGTAGCATATCTTCATTATAAAAAAATTCAACATTACAGCAATACATAATAATATAGTAAGAAAAAGTCCTCCACAATTATGGTTTTCAGAGATAATCATTATTAACAGTGTGGTGTACCTGTCTCCCAATTTTTTCTCTGCATATTTTATGTAAATTTATTTTATATAAATGGGATTATATTATCTATAATGCTTTTCAACTTGTTTTTTTTAAATTTATTAATACATCTTGGTTATCTGTGTCAGCAAATGCAGCACACTACTTAAATCTTTTTACTTGCTGAATGGTATTCCACTGTATGGATATATTGTATAATTTATTTAACCAATTCACTAAAGATGGTCATTTAGATTGTTTCTTTTTTTCTTTTGGCTATTACTACAATGCTCCTAAAAACATCCCTGGGATGATTTAAGTAACATGATATTAAGCTTGTGTTGCAACATACACACCTGGAATAATAAAATAATAATCATAAAGTTCCCATCAGGAAAAAAAAATCTCAAAAAAGACATAATAGGACCAAAAAAAATCTAGAGAAAGATAAACTAATCATAAGAATAAGGCATAAAGATCGAATTAAACATTCCAGTATTCTAATCTGAAGGGAGATAATATGAATAAAGTATAGGAAGTTATGATTGGTATCAATAGAGTGAGTATGAATTTGTCAAGTCTTCAAAAAAATAAAAGGAAAAGATGTTTTTAAATGTAGAAAGGAGATTGGTTTAGAGTAAGTAAAATTAAATGCTCTTTTACTGAGGTGAAATTAAAATGTGAAACTTTCTACCCTGCAAAGCTTTGCAAATGGATATATAAATAAGCTCAGGGAACGTTTACATGCTTTGTATAAAAAACATATCTTCATGAAAATTAAATCTAGTGGATTATGATGAGGGAGTTATAGCCATTCCTTATATACTGGTAACTTTTTAATATCAATGTAATGGAGGTTATATACTGTCTTATCCCACAAAATATCACTTGCTGCTGACAAATCACAAAATATCGGCTGAACAAGAACATTGATTTTGCTTAGTTTAATATTTCTGTTGTTTTTATGTGTTTCTTATCATTCTGTGCTACCCATTTCCTATAAAATTAAAGCACCCTGAGTGACATTAGGTTTGTTCTTGAATTTTAAGGATGAATATTGACAAAAATAATTTTTACTTAATACCCTTATCTTAGGCTTTTAAATCTGCATTGTTACTTATTATATTATTACAACATTTTCAAATATGTTCACATATGTTTGTGAATTTTTGTACTTTTATCTTGTAAGAGGCATTTTCATGTAATCAAAAGACAAGATAAAACTTAATATCTTCTAGTTTTAACATTTTTGCATTGTTGTATGTATTTGTGTATGTATTTACATCGTATTTCAGACTCCTGAAGACCCAAATCCAGTTGGGTTGCAAACTTTGGTTCATCAAAGTATCACCTCTTGTGATCCACTACATAAGAAGGAAAATTCAAATCCAGTGGAGAATTGGTCTGACCAGGACCCTCGGTGTGGGTTAAGGAGATCATCCAGACTGAAAGTAGGCAGAGATGTGAAGCACACAGATGACATATATAAGATGCCAGCAGAGACTTTACCAAAAACACATGGCTGTGAGGATCAAACAAATAATAACTCTTCAACTGAGAATTTCAGGTATGCCACCAAATCATATTATCTTTCTCTCCAGATGCTGATAGATAATTCTGTGCTTGGGACATTATAGTCAGTATACAATTATCCCTAAGTAAAAAAACTTTATTTTTCAGTGTTGTTGCTTTATTTATTTTGCAGTTACTTTTTTAACCTAGAAAACTTTTTCACTTTTTAAAAAAAGGCAAAACAGTGGGAGATTTGTTGTATTTCAGCCTAATGCTAATTTTCTTTCTTTTTATAAAAATTAATTTAGTCAATATCCATCACATATAATTACAAATTTTTTTCTTGTGATAAGAACTTACAAGATTACTCTATTAGCAACTCTCAAATATGAAATATTATATTGTTAACCATAGTCACCATGCTGTACATTATATCCCCATGACTTATTTATCTTATAACTGGAAATTTGTACCTTTTGACCACCTTCACCCACTCTCCACCCATCTCCTCACCTCTGGCAACCCCCAGTCTGTTCTCTGTAAGTTCAGTGGATTTTTTTAGTCTCCACACATAAGTGAGATCATACAGCATTTGTCGTTCTTTATCTGACTTATTTCACATAACATAATGCTGTCAAGGTCCATCTATGTTGTCACAAATAGCAGGATTTACTTTTCTATGACTGAATAATATCCCGTTGTATATATATACTTTTATCTTTATTCATTTATCAATGGATACTTAGGTTATTTCCATGTTTTGGTTATTATAAATAATACTGCAGTGAACATGGGAGTACAGATATGATTTTAAGATAATGATTTTTGTTTCTTTTGGATAAATACCCAGAAATGTAATTGCTAAATCATATAGTAGTTCTCTTTTTTAATTTTTGGGGAAACCTCCATACTCTTTTCCATAGTGGCTACACCAGCTTACATTTCTACCAGTAGTGAACAGGGTTCTCTTTTCCCCACATCCTTGCCAATGGTTGTTAATTCTTTATACTAGCTATTCTGAAAGGTGTGAGGTGATAGCTGATTGTGGTTTTGATTGGCATTTTCCTGATGGTTAGTGATGTTGGGCATCTTTTCATATACTGTTGGCTGTTTGAATGCCTTCTTTGGAAAAATCTTTTTTTAGTCCCTTTCCCTTTTTAAAATTGGATTGTTTGGGTTTTTGCTGTTGAATTGTATGGGTTTTTTACTATATTTTGGATATTAACCTCTTATCAGATACATGATTCGCAAATATTTTCTCCCATTTGGTATGTTACCTTTCATTTTGTTGCTGGTTTCCTTTGCTGTACAGAAACTTTTTAGTTTGATCTAGTCATGCTTGTTTATTTTTGCTTTTGTTGTCTTTGCTTTTGGTGGCAAATCCAAAACATCCCTGCCAAGACTGATGTTAAAGTGCTTACCACCTATGTTTTTTTCTAGGAGTGTTACAGTCTTACATTCAAGTCTTCAATCCCTTTTGAATTGATTTTTGAGTATGCTGTAAGAGTGTGGTCCAGTTTCATTCTTTTGCATGTTGCTACCCAGTTTTCTGTGAATATTTATTGAAGAGATTATCCTTTCCCCATTGTATTGACTTGGCTCCTTTGTTATAATTTAACTTACCATAAATATGTAAGTTCATTTCTGGGCTCTCTTCTTTACCATTGGTCTGTGTGTCTGTTTTTATGCCAGTATTTTACTGCTTTTGATCATTGCCATACTACATGGCAAGTTGGGGTTTTTTTGCAAAGAGCCTGCCTCTTTTTCCACAGATAGTGAATAGTGGAAATAGTGACATACCAACTCAGAGAATGATGGACAAAAGACTCAGAATACTCACAGTTGTAGGTGACTGTCCAAAAGGAGAGAAACCCACAGGTGGCACAAAGAAAAGGCTAGAAACTGTATGACTGGCATACCTGTCACAGAAAATCTGCAGTTTACTCAGCAGCCATCTCCATATTTAAAATGCCATGCTGCTTACCAGCAGCTCAGTTAAATACCTTTGAGTTTTAAAAATGTAGTAAAAATTTGTATGATTCTCTGTGAATGGTTATAGAGAACATGACAGTAATTTTAAAAACACATTTATTTTTCAAGAATAAAGGATCCTGCTTTAATGATTGAAGGTAAAGGGATGAAGAATATGCATTCATCCACACTGAAGAACAGAGAACAGATCAGGAAGAACAAAAAACTTGCAGGAAAAAATGGTGAGGCATATTTTATTTCCTTAAGTAAATAAGTTACAGAAATGTGGAATTCTGGTATTAAAAAGGGTTTAGAGATTATCTATTCCAATTTTCTCATTTTACTGATGAAGTTCAGAGAGGTTAAGGATTTTTCTCAGCATCACACATCTCTTTAGTAGCATAATTAGGACTTGATCCTAAACATCTGGCTCATAGGCTGGTATTTTTTTCAGTATGTGTACTTTGGAGAGAATAGTTATAGAACACATTTCAAACTTAATGTTGGACCTATTTGTGGCATGGCCAACCTAGCATAAGGCTTCTCTTATTCTTAGATGATATTTCTATGTTCCTATACAACCCCAAAGAATGAACTAAAAACTATCAGAAACAATAAGAATCTAGAAAGACTGGTTAAAAAATAATGGGGGAATATTGGCAAAGTTGAAATATGGACTTTAGATTAAATAATAATATTGCATCAATGTTAAATTTCCTGAGTTTAAAAATAATGTGGTTATGTAAGATATGTCCTTGTTTCTAGAAAATACACACTTAAGTATGAGTAAAGGGGTATGGTATATATAAGTAATTCTTTATGTATATATGTATCTTTGTGCCTATGTGCATATGTAAAAAAGGATAAAGAATAATTTAAAGTGGTGTTAATATGTTAACAGTGGGTGAATCCTTTGTTCTATTTTTATAACTTTTTGTAAATCTGAAATTGTTTCCAAATAAAAAGTTTAAAAAATTCAGTAAACCAAAAGAAGATCTTTCTTTTACAAATACCTTTCATATATGAGCATTACCCATTAGAAAATATAAAAGGAGGTCCTATTTATAATAGTTACAAAGGAGAGGAGAGAATATTGCTAATGAAAAATGTGCCATACCTATGAGAAGGGAGTTTAAAAATACTGCTGATGTAAAAAAAAAATTGAATAAATGGAAAGAGGAACCTTATGCTTGACCATATTCAGTTGAAGGTAAAGGGATGAAGAATATGCATTCATCCACACTGAAGAACAGAGAACAGATCAGGAAGAACAAAAAACTTGCAGGAAAAAATGGTGAGGCATATTTTATTTCCTTAAGTAAATAAGTTACAGAAATGTGGAATTCTGGTATTAAAAAGGGTTTAGAGATTATCTATTCCAATTTTCTCATTTTACTGATGAAGTTCAGAGAGGTTAAGGATTTTTCTCAGCATCACACATCTCTTTAGTAGCATAATTAGGACTTGATCCTAAACATCTGGCTCATAGGCTGGTATTTTTTTCAGTATGTGTACTTTGGAGAGAATAGTTATAGAACACATTTCAAACTTAATGTTGGACCTATTTGTGGCATGGCCAACCTAGCATAAGGCTTCTCTTATTCTTAGATGATATTTCTATGTTCCTATACAACCCCAAAGAATGAACTAAAAACTATCAGAAACAATAAGAATCTAGAAAGACTGGTTAAAAAATAATGGGGGAATATTGGCAAAGTTGAAATATGGACTTTAGATTAAATAATAATATTGCATCAATGTTAAATTTCCTGAGTTTAAAAATAATGTGGTTATGTAAGATATGTCCTTGTTTCTAGAAAATACACACTTAAGTATGAGTAAAGGGGTATGGTATATATAAGTAATTCTTTATGTATATATGTATCTTTGTGCCTATGTGCATATGTAAAAAAGGATAAAGAATAATTTAAAGTGGTGTTAATATGTTAACAGTGGGTGAATCCTTTGTTCTATTTTTATAACTTTTTGTAAATCTGAAATTGTTTCCAAATAAAAAGTTTAAAAAATTCAGTAAACCAAAAGAAGATCTTTCTTTTACAAATACCTTTCATATATGAGCATTACCCATTAGAAAATATAAAAGGAGGTCCTATTTATAATAGTTACAAAGGAGAGGAGAGAATATTGCTAATGAAAAATGTGCCATACCTATGAGAAGGGAGTTTAAAAATACTGCTGATGTAAAAAAAAAATTGAATAAATGGAAAGAGGAACCTTATGCTTGACCATATTCAGTGTTGTAAGAAATGTACTTCTTCCTAAATTACTCTATAAATGCCTGAGAGCTTAATCAAAGACAGACTTTTGTTTGTTAATTGTTTTGTTTTGCTTTATAGTGTTAGAGGTTAGCTACAAGAATGTTATAAAATGATATAAATTTCAGCTGGAAAAGTCAATATGAAAGACTAGTCTAGAAAACTCTGAAAAATAAAGGCAAAGAGAGAGTGGAGAGGACAGGAACCTGCTCTATATAATATGAAAGTAATTAGAAAGCCATAGAAATTAAAATAATTTGGTCCTGGCACAAGAACAGACAAATAAATCAATAAAACAGAAGTTAGATATAAAAGTCAGATACAATAGGACTATGGGGGCAGATATGTCATAAAGATAGCATCTCAAATTGGTGGCAGAAGGAAGGACTAGACAATAAGTAGTGAAAAATGTAAACAAAATTTTGTACCCCTGTAGCATTTCTTATACTAAATTTAATTCCAGTTTGGCCAAAGATTTAAATGAAAAAAGAAAAAGTTCTAGAAGAAAATATAAGTGAATCTTTTTATAATCTTTGAGTAGAAAAAGCCTTTTTAAAGTGTGATTCAAACCCAGAAGCCAGGAGGGAAAAGAATGATAAAATTGACTATATACATAAAAAAAGTATGGAAAAAAGCTCTAAAGAACACCAAATATCAGACACAGAAGAAATATGAATAACACATAATAAGGGGTTCATTACATTAGCATGCCAAGAACTCTTGCAAAACAGTAAGGGTAAAGAAAAATGGATAAGAGATATGAACAAGAAGTTCACAGAAAAAAAAATACAAATAGTGAAAAAGATTAACATCTCACTTATGATTAAAGAAATGGAAATTAGGAAGTATAATACTAAAGAGAATGCAAAACATGTTAAACATTTGAGAACTCCCAGTGGTGACAATGTGGAAAAAGTAAGCATTCTCATATGTTGTTGGTAATAGTGTTAAGTTTCTTCAGCCTTTTCACAGGGCATTTTATTTACATTCATCAGAATTTAAGTCAGTTCTTTTAAATCAGCAATTCTACTCAATTCTATATCTATACTTGCTTAAATCTGTAAAGATATTATAAGGATGTTCTTTACTACAATGTTTATTGTAATAAAATGACTAGAAACAATCTAAACTAGGTGATAAATTACAGTATAACCAATTAAATAATAAATTACAGTATAACCAATAAAATAATAGTCATTTAAGAAATCAGAATATATGTGCTGATAAGAAGAAAAAGAGGTCAGAGGCACTCAAGATGGCAACATGAGTAGGGTGGTGGAAATCTCCTCCCAAAACCATATATATTTTTGAAAATACAACAAATACAACTATTCCTAAAAGAGAGACCAGAAGATACAGTACAGCATTCAGGCTACAGCTACATCTGCGAGAAGTCAGCATCCTGCGAAAAGGGTAAGATAAAAAGCCATGACCCAGTTGAACCTGAGCCCTCCCCCCACCCCAGCTCACCAGTGGGAGGAAAAGAATCAGAGTGGGGAGGAAGTGGAAGCACAGGACTGCTAAATAACCAGCCCTAGTAATCTGCACTGGGAGCACAGACACACATTGCATGATGTACAGGATATTAGAGAAACAGAAAAGTAAAATATGAGATGGAGACTGCGAGTGGGTCCCCACAGCCAGCTCCCCTGAGACAAAAGAAAAGCTGGTGCTTTAAAAGTCTTAAAGGGACAGGGGGTTAACAGATGGACAAAATTGTTCCAGCACACACAGGTCAGCAGGCTGGGAACCTTAAAGAACTTCAGGTGACCTAACACCTTGGGTGGCAACCCAGCTCCAAAGCCCCTCAGTGTGATAAGCAGTGTGCCATTCATTCCTCCCTGCCAGTGCTGCAAGCAAACCAGCTGACCTGCCACAGCTTCAGACCAGCCAGGGAGCAGCCCCACCCACAGCAACCACACAGAATCTTCTCCCAGTGCACAGCTAACTGGGCCAGACCCAGAACCTGCCCCCAGTGTGCAGCAGCCCAGCACAGGCAGAGGAAGCTGGGGCAAGGTCTGGAAGGCATAAAGGGGTGCCATTCTCACAGGAGAATACACCCAGTGCATCGGCGAACCCATGCAGTGCCCTAGGTTATCAAGGGCCACCCTGCCATTGGCAGCTCAGGGAATTAACCCAGAGACTGCTCCCTGTGTGCGGGTAACCAGCACAGGCAGTGGAGAAGGGCAAAGCAACCAGCAAGCAGAAAGGGACTTTGTTCTCACAGCTGACAGATGCGCCACCTGCCGGCTATCACTTCTATCACCATGAAAAGGCAGAAGAATCTGGTCCAGTCAAAAATCACTTAACCCCAGAGAGAGGGCTGGGTGAGATAGATATAACCAATCTTCCTGATAAAGAATTCAGAATAAAACTTATAACCATGCTGATGGACCTGCAGAGAAATATGCAAGAGCTATGGGATGAAGTCTGGAGGGAGCTAACAGAAATGAACCAATCAATAGAAGGACTTAAGAACAAACTGGATGAGGTGCAAGAGACTATTAATGGAATAGAATTCAGAGAACAGGAATAGAGAGAAGCTGCGGCAGAGAGAGATAAAAGGATCTCTAGGAATGAAAGAATATTAAGAGAACTGTGAACAATCCAAATGGAACAATATTTGCATTATAGGGGTATCAGAAGAAGAAGAGAGAGAAAAAGGGATAGAAAGTGTCTTTGAAGAAATAATTAATGAAAACTTCCCTAAGCTGGGGAAGGAAATAGTCTCTCAGACCATGGAAGCCCACAAGTTTCCCAACACAAGGGACCCAAGGAAGGCAAAACCAAGGCATATAATAATTAAAATGCCAAAGATCAAAGACAAGGGTATTAAAGGCAGCCAGAGAGAGAGAAAAGATGACCTACAAAGGGAAACCCATCAGGCTATCATCGGACTTCTCAACAGAAACCTTACAGGCCAGAAGAGAATGGCGTGATATATTTAATGCAATGAAACAGAAGGGCCTTGAACCAAGAATACTGTATACAGCATGATTATCATTTATATTTGAAGGAGGGATTAAAAAATTTCCAGATTAGCAAAAGTTGAGGGAATTTGCCTCCCACAAACCAAATTGACAGGGTATTTTAAAGGGGCTGCTCTAGATGGAAGTACCCTTAAGGCTAAATAGATGTCACCAGAGAAAATAAAATCACAGCAAAGAAAGCACACCAACCAAATACTAACTAAAGGCAAAAAATAAAATCAACTATCCACAAAAGCAGTCAAAGGAAACATGAAAGAGTACACAATAAAACACCTAACATATAAAGAGTGGAGGAGGAAGAATAAGAAGGGAGTGAAATGAAGAATCATCAGACTGTGTTTAGAATAGCATAATAAGTGAGTTAAAGTTAGATGGTTAGATAGTAAAGAAGCTCCCCTTGAAACTTTGGTAACAAATCCAAAGCCTGCAATGGAAATAAGTACATAGCTATCGATAATTACCTTAGTATAAGTGGTCTGAATACACCAATCAAAAGACACGAGTAATCAAATGAATTAAAAAACAAGACCCATCTATAGGCTGCTTACAAGAGACTCACTTCAAACCCAAAGACATACACAGACTAATAGTGAAGGGATGGAAAAAGATACTTCATGCAAATAATAGGGAGAAAAAAGCAGGTGTTGCAGTACTTGTATCAGATAAAATAAACTTCAAAACAAAGAAACTAACAAGAGATAAAGAAGGACATTACATAATGATAAAGGGGTCAGTCCAACAAGAGGATATAACCATTATACATATATATGCACAGGAGCACCGACATATGTGAAACAAATGCTAACAGAAGTAAAGGAGGAAATAGAATGCAATGCATTCATTTTAGGAGACTTCCACACACCACTCACTCCAAAGGATAGATCGACCAGACATTAAATAAGTAAGGACACAGAGGCATTCAACAAAACACTAGAACATATGGACCTAAAAGACATCTACTGAACTCTGCACCCAAAAGTAGCAGGATACACATTCTTCTCAAGTGCACATGGAACATTTTCCAGAGTAGACCACATACTAGGCCATACAAAGAGCCTCAGTAAATTCAAAAAGATTGAAATTCTACCAATCAACTTCTTAGATCACAAAGGTATAAAACTAGAAATAAATTGTACAAAGAAAACAAAGAGGCTCAAAAACACATGGAGGCTTAACAGCATGCTCCTAAATAATCAATGAATCAATGACCAAATTAAAACAGAGATCAAGCAGTATATGGAAACCAGTGACGACAACAGCACAATGCCCCAACTTCTGTGGGACACAGTGAAGGCAGTTCTAAAAGGAAAGTGTATATAGCCATCCAGGCCTGTTTAAAGAAGGAAGAACAATCCCAAATGAATAATCTAAAGTCAAAATTATTGAAACTGGAAACAGAAGAACAAATGAGGTCCAAAGTCAGCAGGAGGGACATAATAAAGATCAGAGAAGAAATAAGTAAAATTGAGAAGAATAAAATAATAGAAAAAAATCAATAAAACCAGGAGCTGGTTCTTTGAGAAAATAAACAAAATAGATAAACCCCTCTCCAGACTTATTAAGAGAAAGAGAGAATCTACACACATCAACAGAATCAGAAATGAGAAAGGAAAAATCATGATGGACAGCACAGGAATACAAAAAATTATTAGAGAATACTATGAAAATCTATATGCTAATAAAGCTGGATAACCTAGAAGAAATGGACAACTTTCTAGAAAAATACAGCTTTCCAAGACTGACCAAGGAAGAAACAGACCAATTACCAGCAATGAAATTGAATCGGTAATCAAAAAGGTACCCAAGAACAAAATCCCCGGTCCAGATGGATTCACCACTGAATTTTATCAGACATATAGAGAAGTCATAATACCCATTCTCCTTAAAGTTTTCCAAAAAACAGAAGAGGAGGGAATTCTTCCTAACTCATTCTATGAAGCCAGCATCACTCTAATACCAAAACCAGGCAAAGGCCCCACCAAAAAAGAAAATTGCAGACCAATATCCCTGATGAACATAGATGCAAAAATACTCAACAATATATTAGCAAACTGAATTCAAAAATACATCAACAGGATCATACACCATGATCAAATGGGATTCATCTCAGGGATGCAAGGATGATACAACATTCGAAAATCCATCAACATCATCCTCACAAAAACTACATGATCATCTCCATAGATGCTGAAAAAGCATTTGACAAAATTCAACATCCATTCATGATAAAAACTCTCGACAAAATGGGTATAGAAGCAAGTACCTCAACATAATAAAGGCCATATATGACAATCCCACAGCCAACATCATGCTTAACAGCGAGAAGCTGAAAGCTTTTCACCTAAGATCAGGAACAAGACAGGGATGTCCAGTCTCCCCACTTTCATTCAACATAGTACTGGAGGTCCTGGCCACAGCAATCAGACAAAACAAAGAAATAAAAGGCATCCAGATTGGTAAAGAAGAAGTCAAACTGTTACTATTTGCAGATGACATGATATTGTACATAAAAAACCCCAAAGAGTCCACTCCAAAACCCTACACGTTATAGCAAATGAACCAACAGAGAAGATTAAAATGGAGTAACAAAAAATATTCAGTGTTAATCCAAAAGAAAGTAGAAGAGGGGAAAAAAGCAGATAGGAAAGACTGAAACAAATAGCAAGATGATACATTCAAACCCAACCGTATCAACAGTCACATTAAATGTAAATAGTTAAGATACTCTCAATTAAAAAGGAGAGTGTGTCAGAGTGGATGAAAAAAGCAAGACCCAACTATATGCAGACTTAAGAAACACACTTGAAATATAAAGACATAAAAAGGGTTAAAACTAAAAGAACAGAGAGAAACATACTTTGCTGATATCAGTTGTATTAGTTTCCTATTTTAGCAACAATTTACTTCAAGTTTAGTGACTTAACACAAATTTATTCTTTTACAGTCCTGAGGTCAGAAGTCCAAATGAATATTAAGGGGTTAAAAACAAGGTGTCAGCAAGACTAGATCATTCTGTAGGCACTGGGAGAAAATATTCCTTATCTTTTCCAGCTTCTAGAGGGAATGGGTATTCCTTTGCTCCTGGGCACATCAGCCCAGTCTCTGCTTCTGTTGTCACATTGCTTTCTTCTCTTTTGATCCTTATGCTTCCCTCGTATAAGATTCTTGTGATTCCATTTAGGGCTCACACAGATAATCAAGTCTCAATAAATTTAAAAGAATGAACGTCATAAAGTGTATGTTCTGTGATACCAATGGAGTTAAATCAGAAATTAATAACAAAAGGACCTTTGTAAAATCCTGAGATATTTGGAAACTAAATAGCACACTGTTAAATAACCAGTTGATCAAAAGAAATAATTGAAAGGGAAATTAGAAAGTATTTATAACTAAAGTAAAATGAAAATACAACATAGCAATATTATGAGATGTCACAAAAAGAGGGATGGGAATTAGAGTACTAAATGCCTATAAGAAATGAAGAACACTATCAAATCAATGACATCACTCTAGAAAAAGAAGAGTGAATAAAATTCAGAGTAAACCACAGACAGGAAATAGTAAAGAAGAAAGTAGTGGTAAAGCAGAAATCAATGAAATAGTAAACAAAAAGAATAGAGAAAGTCAGTGAAACCAACAGCTGGTTCTTTGAGATCGATAAAATTCATAAAACTGAATGAAATGAGGAAAAAGACATAAATTACCAATATCACAAACAAGATAGTTAACATCATTATATAGTTTATGATATGAAAAAGATAAGGGAATATTATGAGCATCTTTTTGCCAAATATTCAGCAACTTAGACGAAATGGACAAAGTCCTTCAAAGATACAAATTATTGGAAATGGGCAACCTGAATAATAATGTATCTATTAAATAAATTGCATTTGTAGTTTAAAACTTTCCCTCCTAAAGCCAAACAAATCAATAAACAAGAAAATCTCTAGGCCTGGATGTCTTCTGGATTAGTCTGCTAGAAATACCACAAACTGGATGGTTTAAATGACAAATTAATTTTCTTATGGTTCTGGAGGCAAGAAGTCCAAGATCAAGATGCTAGAAAATTTGATTTCTGGTGAGACCTTTGTTTGTGGCTTTCAGACAGCTGCTTTCTCACAGTATATTTCTTGCGTGTGTGGAGAGTTCTGGTGTCTCTTCCTTCTTTTATAAGGACACCAATCCTATTATATTAGGATTTCAACTTAAGAATTTGGGGGAAACACAGTTCAGTCCATAACACCTTCCGTGGTGAATTCTACCAAACATTTAAGAAAGAAATAATATCAGTTTTCCACAGACTTTTCCAAAAAATTGAAGATGAGAAAATACTTCCCAACTCATAATGAGTTTCAGTATTTTAGTGATGCAGTAGAGAAATGAAACTTAGTATGCATAACCTGGAAAAATATTTTAATTGGTTATTTACAGGCATAGGAAATCAAAACTGATTTAAAAATGAAGGTCATAGTTCCTTAGTTAGTTTTGTGATAGTTATTTTTAGCAAAGAAGGAAAATTTAGCATTCCCCTTTTTGGTCTTGCTGGGTTAATTTTTATACCTTTCTTAAATACCTCTGAGATTCTCTTATGGTTTTATAAGACATTTTTATATTACAATGTTTTGTTAGGTTTCATAACATCTAATTCTAGGTCTAAATAATGCTTGCAACAGAACTTTTAAAAAAATAATCTTTTCATTTTCTCATATATGTACTTTCATGGCATTTGATGTAAACTGCTTATATGATTTATAATTTACTACAAATATTTTCAAACTAATGACATTTGTCTCTTTCATCTTTTTGCATGTAGATACCATTGTAATTGAGTTAATGGATGAAATACTGTTTCATAATATAATATATCTCTATTCTGGAATGTTGACTGGATTCACTGTTACCCGTATTCTTCCACGTTTTCAAATAAGGATGATTGTTTTATTTTGTTCATTCCCTCATTTCAGAAAAAATGAAGATGAATAAAATATCTCTTGCTAACATTAACCGTAGAAACATTTTTGGAGAGAATTCACTGTATAAGGCTGCTCTGCACAATGACATTGCTCTTGTTCATCATTGTATAAAAAAAGGTGGAAATGTTAACCAACCAAGTTATGCTGGTAAGTTGGGGTTATTGAAAGGAAAGGAGCGACACACAGCAGCAATTCACTGGAGAATTCCGCTTTATTAGGGAAAGGTGCTGGGTTATATAGGAAGGGGCATGGGGTGATTGTGGTGTTACTTCTACGGGGCTGGTGGCTATTGGCTAGGTGCTAGGATTGGGAGGGGGGCGAGAGGTAATTGGGCTTTAGGTGGCACCAGCGGGAACCAAGGATCCTGAAGAGAAGCCGGAAGTTCGCCATCTTACTGGTGGGGGCCCTTCATTCCCCCCTTTCTCCTCTGTGGGGTTGTGGACGTTGCTTTCTCTCTGACTGCTTCCTGCTGAACGGGGGCGGAGAACGGAGTGAGGGCTTAAGGATTGGGAGGAAAGGGTTGATAGGACTCCCCACAGTAAGGACGAGTAGATGTAGACTTCTTCAGGTTGGAAATCAGTGAAGGTTCCCTGTACCCATAGTTTGAGGACTTGTTGATTCTAATGGTGCCAAGAGGACACGGGTGCCAGGAGCCAGGCATCTGCGGCTATTGTTTCTAGGAACAGTTTCCAGTGGAGAGAGGGGTCCATCTCAGCATGTGGTGAGGAGGTTACGTGAGGGTGAGGGATCTTCTGTGGCCGGAAGCTGATAGTTCCTGAGTAAAAGCTGGTTGAAAGTTTGATTATAGATTTTTCCGACTTGGGATTTGATGAACTTTATTATACAGGGTAAGAAGAGACAGGCAAGAAGAGTGATTATTATGGGGCTTGCAATGGGCCAGAGCCAGGTAAGGAGGGGGTTTGTTAGTATTGAAGAGAATGGGTTGGAATTGGAAGCAGAGTGGAGGCTGGAGGCAAGGTTGGTGAGTTTGGTAATGTCAGTTTCTACAATGCCGGATTTGTTGATGTAATAGCAGCACTCCTCTTGAAGGAAGATGCAGGTACTGCCCCTCTCGGCTGTAAGCAGATCTAAGGCCCGCCGGTTTTGAAGGGTGACTTTAGCTAGCGAAGTGACCTGTCTTTGGAGAGAGGCCAGGGAATCGGCAGTGGATGTCAGGGCTCTCTCAAGTTTGGCGTTGAGATCTTTAATTGCCCATAGAGAGTGACTCAAGGCTCTCCCAGAAAATCTTGCCTCAATGGCTGAGGTGGTCAAAGAGATACCGACCATGATGGGAAGGAAAGCAGCCCTTTTTGTGCGCGAGGGCAAGGGAGGTTGGGGCTCAGGGAATTCCACCATGCTGTAAAGTGTAAGCTGTGGGATTAGGGTGACGAGAATGCAGGGTGCCTGGAGTTGGGAGGCAGTGAAGTGTGCTGGAGGGGGTTGGAGTCGGGCCTACACAGTGGTGGATGGTGAGATTATCTGCGTATTCTGGTTCTCATAGGGGTATGTCTGCCAGGGGGCAGAGGGGTTGTCCTTCTGCATGGAAGGAGTAGTTGGAAATATTAAGGGGCACGGCGGCCAGCAGTGGGTGCAGTAGTGATGCGCACATGAAACAATTGGCAGTGTTAAGGGTGTGGCTGAGAAAGATGGTGGTGTCCTGAATGAGCTGTAATGAAGAGTAGGAGAAATTGGAAGAGGGGCGGGGATAAGAAGATGAAGAGGCGCCATCAAGAGTTTGGATAATGACTTTTTCAGAATGTCTGATATCTGATGCAACTTGAGAGATCTGGGAATGAGAGGAAACA